CTCGGGGGTCAAGGGGAGTAATTGCCAGCTTCCGCGCTCCGACACGCGTGGGGACCCGGAGGCTCTCCTCCGCGCTAGGCTCTGGTGCGGGGAAAGGGGGGCTTCCTTCCTGGCTGCTACTCGAGCGCTAAGTTGCTCCGAGAGCTCCACCGAGTAGAAATGAAAGTTGTCGGCGGCGAGACGAGCGCCGGTCGGCGAGCGCTGCCCGCGACCGCCGACTCCCCCCGGTTCTTGACGAACCTGTTGGAAGCTTTCGAATGGCCCGGGAAGGAGGGAGGAGGGCGCGTCGTCCCCTGCCTCTCCTGGATGGCCAAGAAATGTTCTTGGAGATGGCCCTGCTTTGGCCAGGTGCGTCAGACCATCTTCCGCTGGGAGGGATGGCACCCACCGGGAGTTCGAGATCAGAAACCTAGGGTGCCTTGGCAGGGGAGAGCTCGCCAGCGCCATACGCCCCTATTCTACCGCAAAGCAGATCCCTGGAGCATTTTACAGAATCAAGCTGGGGTCGGAGGGGACAGAGGGAAAAGCAGCTACCCATCTGGGCGCTTGGGCACAATGAATGACTTGACTTTCTCTGAGTTGCTTTAGCCTAGCTAGACGCTTCGTCCTATAACTGTCAGACTCCCTGGGCCACAGCAACCTCCCCGCATCCCAGAGCGGTTCCCCGGTCCCGCGTGCTTCCAGAAATCATCCTCCCCGCCCCCACCCCCTGCGACGTGGCTGGTTCCGCAGGGTCTTTCTGAGAATCTCTCCCTTTCTGGTCGTGTCTCCCCTCAGTGCCCTTGCCCCCGCCCAGCCTCCGCCCCCGCTTCCCCAGGGTTGGAAACTCCGCGGAGGAGCCCCAGTCACAATGGTGCGTTTCACGGTTTCCTCCACACACTTCACCACCGGGAGGGGAACACGGGGGTGTTCCTTTGGTCCGCCCACGAGAAAGAAAGGGGCTTTGACGGGGGTAGTGACTGTTTCTTAATTTACAACCTCGAGGCTCAGCTCCCGGCCAGCGGCCGCGAGCCGGAGCGGCCCAACGTGTTTCCAAGCTCCGAGCCCTCGCCTAGGTAACCCGGCCGTTTTGGGGAGGTGGCGGGGGTAGGGGTGGAGAGTGGGCTGCAAAGACAACCCAGGGGAGCTGGGACCCGGCTGTCGGGGAGACGCTGGGGCTGGCCACGCGAGGGTAACTCCTTCCTCCGGGAGGTGCGGTCGCCCCCACCTCCCTCCGCTACCGGCCACCTCCAGCTTTGAGGCCATCCCAGGCAGGGGCGGGGAGGTGAGCACCTGCTGGAGGAGGGGGGCGGGGACTGTTGAAGTCCCCTGCTGAAGCTGCGTGGGGACCGGCAGCCTGTGCTGTGGCCGTGGAAAGATCCGCTGGGGTCTGCGCTCCACCGAGCGCAAGCTTTCCGTCGGAGCAGCTCGGACAGGGGCAGGCGAGGGAATCCCCCGCGCTGCAGCCCTCGAGGCTTTCCCGGACCCGGGGGCGGGCTCTGAGGGCCTTTTTTTTTTGTCCCTGCAGGGAAGGTCTGGGCGGCAGGGGTAGCGGGAGACGAAACTTAACGTGATCCTGGCAGACCGCGAAGCACCCCAGAGGTTTGGGGTGGTTTTTGTTTTATTTGTTTTTCTTTCGGACTGATTTGCTTTGATTTGGGTTCTGCGTGCGTGTGTGTATGTGTCTGTTTTCACCGGGATCCACGTTGCCACCCTCGGAGCTTTGTCCACCCCGGGCCAAGGGGGCGCTATAAGACGGAGTTTGGGGTCCGAGCTTTCCGCGACAAAGTTTCACGAGGCTGCGCGCGGAGACTTGCGCGCGGAGACTTTCGCCCGGGAGCCGCACTTGGCATCCTCAGGAATGCACTCCCTCGGGGTCGCCGGCTTGCCACTCCGCCTCGGGAATTCCTCCCGCCTCGGGGACTCGTCCCTCCTCGCCGCCTGGCTTGCCATACGGGCCTTCATTGCGCAGCGCCCCTTTGTTTGCTTGGCCCCCCTGGCCCCAAAAACGTGTGCGGCTACTAGCAGCAAAGGCCCATTAGCATTTAGAATGAAAAGCGTTAAGGGTCTGTTAATTCCTCTGGGCGTTCACGCATTCGTTCCGGACCTCATGCATTTCCTATGCAATGTGTAAAAATTGTGTTTGAGGGGTGGGGACGGGCGGAGTTGGAAAATGGCTATTTTCCGCTCAGGCACACTCGCTGAACCCCCCAAATTCTGACGGAACTCGTTCCTCGAGCGTTCTCTTTTCTTCGCTGTTCCTGCCTTCGCGAGTTTGGAACCAATTGTTGGGGGCAAAGAGATCAATTTCTGGGCGACGACAGGCTGCGAGGTGTTTAAGCCTCGGTTCGGGTGCCACAAAACGGCGATGAGCGCAGCGGGTGCGGACAATCTTCCCTCGACTTCCCCCAAAGCTGTGTGACGCTTCTTGCCCAGGCATTCCGGTACCCTTAAGTGCCCTTACTTGCCCTTGTGCTAATTCTTGGTCATGAACGCAGTAGTATTTTCTAGACGCTCCCCCCGCCAAAGCCCTGCCCAGACGCCCGCCCAGGCTGAGGTGAGCCCAGCCCGCTCTCATGGTGACCTCTTGTCTGCCCTCTCTCCTGGCACCTGCAGAGCCCACCGCGGAAGAGCGACGCCCGGCAAGCCCAGGCCCTGAGCCTGGACCCTCGGCGGAGTCGGGCATCACAGCAGCAGCCACTTCACCTGGCAGGACGTCCCCGCCTCCTACGCTCTCGGCCTCCACTGGAGAGACCCCCAGCCCCACCATTCAGCGCGCAAGATACCCTCCAGGTAGGAGCTGAAGGCAGGACCCGCTTCTACCGCTGGAGAAACGGGGAAAGGGGGACCTCCCAACAGCAGACTGGTCCATTCGCTAAGTGCTAGGACAGGGATGGCTGGCTGGCCATGCATAACACGGCATTCCTAGCACGAAGCTCCTCAGTGTCACCACACCCTTGTTGCCTACCGAGATTAAATTAAGCGTTGCATTTCTCAAAATGAGGCTTTCCCAAGGGCAAAACACAAATACATCAGGTAGAGGGGAGCCTTCCATACAGTTCAATGTCTTCATTGTTGCTTTCCTTTTTTTTTTTTTTTTTTCCCATCCAGTGTGTGCATTTAGAGTTACTGAATTCCTCAGGGCAAAGCGGTGTCTTTTAGTGTCTGTAAAACCAAAATCTTTTGAGGGCACTAGTATGGGTAATTGGAGGTCAGAGGGAATGGGGGGTGTCAAAGAAGCATTTGAACTGAAAACCAAGGGGGCGGCACAAGTTTGGCAGCAAAACAAAGGATTCTAGATTTGGTGGTGCCAGCTCTTGATGAGCTTGTTCCAGGCGTGCTTAGGTACCAGGCCTACATAGGCATCTGAGAGGTATGTGGATATGCAAAGCAGGGTCTCAGCAAGCTCATCTTCTATCTGGAAACCTCAACAAGATACAAGGAGAGATAGTTAGGCCCTGCCGAAAAGAGTGATAGGGAAGAGACAGAAAAACCTCAGAGGCACAGAAAGGAGCAGACCGCAATGAAGGCTCAGGAGGTGTTTTTGTAAGTCAGGAGCCTGCCATTGTATCCCAGCAGCCGGGCAGCCAGCTAAGTAATCCCTCAACTTCCAACTAGTGAGGGCGTTCTTCAGGCCTGCCTTAGAAAAGACAGGTTTGAACTGCTTGCCCTCATCACCACTTCTTCCAACAGGCCCTCATCACGCTTTTTCAAATCAAAAGATTTTATCCCCTACACGCATGACTCAATCAGATTTTGGAAATGTGGGTAAGAGAAAGATGCCAAAGGAAATGTGAAGCACTCGCTTGGTGGATTAGTCACGCCCTGGATCCCATGCGCTCCAACACAGACGTTAAGCACCTGCTTTTCCTCTCACTCAGAAGAACCAACCCCCAGAAACTGGCCCCCCTGGTACCCTGGACTGCCTCCTAACCACACTGGAAGGGAAATAATTGGTTAAGTCATCCAATAGACCTCTCAGGATGCTCTCAGCGGGGAGTCCAACCTCTTAGGAAGTGGCAAGCATCCTGGACACCCATAGCTGCGAGGGGGCTCGGTGTAGTCATCCAGGCAAGGAAACCAAGTTTGCACAGAAACAGCCTCCTTCTTTTCCAGGGAGCTCAATCTTCTGTCATGAGAAAATACCTAGATTCACTTGCCTATTGTGGTTGCCGTCCCCTGTTGTTCAATAGTTTCATTAGTCGGAGACTATATGTGTACATGTATCATATATATATGTATATATATATATATATGATAAAGCAGAGAGCTGCTTTGGTGGGTGTTTCTTTGCAGCTGCTGATCTTTTTCCTTGCAGATGGTGCAAACACCCCCAAGTTCATTTCCCTGGGCCTGTGTTCCCACCTCACCACCTAGCTGGCTGTAGTCAGCCACAGGGGTCCACTTTGTGCGGGCTGCTAGGCCTGTTTGTAGAAGTGGGAGTGGGTGGGACACGGCAACCACACGTGTGTGGGCAGCATCACTTGGCACACATAAAATGTTAGAATGTCACCAACTCCCTCTGGGCCAGCAAGTCCCACGTAGGACACTTTTTTTAAGCTCCTAGGTTCGCAAATCAGTGTGTGTGATATGGAGGACCCAACAGCCTTTTCCCCACACCACTCCCAAAAATAAAGCAACGGAGCATTCATTGGTGCCTCTCTCTTTGTCCCTTCAGCTAGGGCTCTCTAGTTTCAGAGGATTCCGAGCAAATCTCGAAAGACACTACTGAGTGTCTGAGAGGGAGACATCAGGGATCCCAGATCTGGTGAAAGGCAGGGCAGGTTCCCCTGCGGAAGCTGGGTTTGTGGGTCAGGGATTCAGCTTTCTTCCCAGGGAGGAAATGAGTAAAGTGAGAAGCCTCCAGTCTGCTCCCGGGAGGGGGAGAGGATGCGGCTTCCTCTCTTTTTCCCAGATCCCAGAGCAATAGATCCAGCATCGGCAGTTAATGAAGGAAAGGGTGAGGTCGGATGGTGTCCTGACCTAGCGTCTGAAAGACCCTTCTCCCTGTCACTGCAGATATGCCCTGTGTGCAAGCCCAGTATAGCCCTTCGCCTCCAGGTTCCAGTTATGCCGCGCAGACGTACGGCTCTGAGTACGCCACGGAGATCATGAACCCAGACTACGCCAAGCTGACCATGGAGCTCGGTGGCGCCGAGATCACGGCCACGGCCACCACGTCCCTGCCCAGCTTCAGTACCTTTATGGAGGGCTACTCCAGCAGTTACGACCTCAAACCTTCCTGCCTGTACCAAATGCAGCCATCTGGACCGCGGCCCTTGATCAAGATGGAGGAGGGGCGCGCACACGGCTACCACCACCATCACCATCACCACCACCATCACCATCATCATCACCAGCAGCAGCCGCAGCCGCCGCAGCCGCAGCCGCAGCAGCAGCCGTCTCTTCCTCCCGCCTCTGGCCCGGAAGACGAGGTGCTGCCCAGTACTTCCATGTACTTCAAACAATCCCCGCCGTCCACCCCCACCACGCCGGGCTTCCCCCCGCAGACCGGGGCGATGTGGGACGACGCGCTGCCGTCGGCGCCGGGCTGCATCGCGCCCGGCCCGCTGCTGGACCCGCCCATGAAGGCGGTGCCCACGGTGACCGGCGCCCGCTTCCCACTCTTCCATTTCAAGCCCTCGCCGCCGCACCCGCCCGCACCCAGCCCGGCCGGCGGTCACCACCTGGGCTACGACCCGACGGCCGCCGCCGCGCTCAGCCTGCCTCTGGGAGCCTCGGCCGCCGCGGGCAGCCAGACTGCCGCGCTCGAGGGCCACCCGTACGGGCTGCCGCTGGCCAAGAGGGCGACCGCGCTGCCCTTCCCGCCGCTGGGCATCACGGCCTCCCCCACCGCGTCTGGCCTGCTGGGAGAGAGCCCCAGCCTGCCGTCGCCACCCACGCGGAGCTCATCGTCGGGCGAGGGCACGTGCGCCGTGTGCGGGGACAATGCCGCCTGCCAGCACTATGGCGTGCGCACCTGCGAAGGTTGCAAGGGCTTCTTCAAGGTGAGCAGTGCCGCCCCGCCCCTTCTCCCATCCCCGCCCCCGAACAGCAGCCAGCCCTCAGGAGGATGTGAGTGTGTGTGCAGGAGCGACCTCAGCCTTAGGTGTGAGAAGCTTCACCTTAAGGGTTTCAGAGCCTGTGGCCCTTCCTGGTACCTTCTTAAGCTACTTTTATCAGGCGGTAGGCAGGACCTAGGAGAGCTTTCCATTGATTCTCAACAGAATTTCTGACTTCCACGATGCAAAACCTCATTGCATTTCTTGTCTGTCCTGTGTGCAGCACACCTGTATGCCTGCTTTCATCTTTGCAGGAAACGCTACTATTCTAGACTCAGACAGTCCTAACACTGGCTTTGGGGTGCTGGTGAGCTAGTTTTGTTAGCCATGCTTGAAGGTAGTTGTCTTTATTTCATTGGAAGGCTCAGAATGATGGATCCACTGTCCAAAATTCATTCATTCATTCATTCATTCATTCATTCATTCTCATTCTCTCTCTCTCTCTCTCTCTCTCTCTCTCTCTCTTCTCAGAGACAGGGAGGCAGGATGCTAACTCACTGTGTGTGATCCCAGAGGGCATGCTCTTCCCACAGTAATTCACCCTGGAATAGACAGGAGCCACTGGTGGGGTACATTTTGGGATGGCTGCCTCCTTGGAAACTAGGAGCTGGAGTTTAGGTGTCACTGGTCCATTCTGCCCTCCAAGAACTCCCCTACTCACACACCCGTGTCCATCCCACCCACACGAGGTGTCAAGTGCAGACCTTGTTCCTCTCAGATTTAAAGGCGGATGTTGCAGCATAAGGGTCATGGGCCTTAGTTCTATTTTTCCAGAACTTTCTGAAGTACCCTTGAATTTTACCTCTGAGGAACTGAACCCTAGAGTGGTGAAGTCTTGGGCAGGCTTTAAGCCAGCACTTGGCTGCACACAAGGACCCAGCAGGCCCCTCCTTTTTCCAGTGCTTGGTGGCGGGGGCTCAGCAGGGAGGTTTTCTCTTGCTGCAGTATCTTGGGCTTTGACTCCCAGGCTTCTGGTACTTCTGTCCCCCCCTCCCCTCCCCTCCAGTCATTTCTTCAACTCTTTGCAGACTCACCCAAGTGACTCCTGAGTGTCCAGTGCCAGGTAGAGGCGAGGGAGGGGAAGAGCAGAATGCCAACTGGCTGACTAGGTTTTTGGGAAACCAATAGGATTTATCTGGTAGCATGTTGCAGTGAGAATCAGAAGACTCAAATAGAAGCAGTGCCCCAGTTGTCACTGCCAATTGTATGACATTGGGCATGACATCACTTTGTGGGCCTTCCTTTCCTGTCAATGACAACAACTCAGAGAAGGGCTGTACCAAATGAGATTTTTAAATAAATGAAAGCACTCTATCATGTTTTTAAAGTCATGAAACAACAGCTCATTATTAAATGAAAACTAGGAAGCATTTATTAAAATGCACATGTTTATGGATGAGTATACATACTACCAGACATAGTTGTTTTTGGACTGGGATGGCAATCATGTTATTAATTGAATTCTGCAGATAAGTGGGAAAGAGCTTGTGGGAAGGCTTTGCAATATGTTAAGCGCCCTGCAGGTACCATGAATGATGATGTTTTAAGTGCACAACCTTAGCTTTTTTTTTTTTTTTTAATTTTGTCATTTGGTTTATCTGTCATCCCTGTCCCAATGGCTCAAGCTTTAGCAGAGCACTGCTTTCCAGTGTCTGCATTTTGGGAATGCGCAAAGGCAGTGAAACGGGCAGCAGCAAGGTGGAAAAGAAAGAAAAAAAAAAACAGTCAAGAGGACAAGAGGATCACAAGTAACCCACAGTCATGGGGCCCGAGTTAGCGGAAAGTGACCCAGGTCCAGCATGAGAATACATCTAGAAACATCCATCAAGCGTTCCAAACAGCTCCCTTTTACTGCGGCAATGCCTTGAAAACAAATCTATACTTGAAAAGGTGGAGGGGGCAGGCAGAACAGGAGAGAACCACCCCACGGATCTGTTTATTAAACCCAGAGGTTTTCCACCGTTAAATTGAATTCTTTCAACGTGAAGTGCAGTGAATGATGGGAGCTCAGGGACTGCTGTGATGAGCCCTGCCTTGCGTCACCCCACACAGGCACACATCCGTAGGAGCAAGCCTACAGGGTTGTGGGAAACACGTGCCACCAGCACGGAGCCTGGCATACAGCCTGGAGAAGGCTAGCAAGAACCAGTGTTAGACCCGAACGACACGTACCCCAAGACAACTTCATTCGGGAGACAGGAGTCTCGGCTCCTTTCATACGGCTGAGCTGGAAATACTGGAAATCCAGAAGTGCTTTTGTGGTAGGGAGCTGTGTTTCCCACGGAGAAGGTTTGTTTGAGAGAGATAGGGTGGCTTTGCTAAATTTCAGGTCAGCTATTTAGAAGTTAATCCCTAAAGAGACACTGGAAGATGTTTGGGTGAAAGATGCTTGCAGGTGACTGGGAGAAAAATTGCAGGTGAAATAGAACCTATTACCTGAACCTTTTTTTTTTCTTAGTGCAGCCTAGGCTTACCAAATATAGTTATGAAAAATTTCATTCCAAGTGGCGAAATCTAGCCATTGGCATAAATATTTTCAGTTTAAAAGGCAAGCATTCTTTCACATCCGGAACATAAAATATGCTTAATTATTTCTCCATGTGTCATTTCAAAATTATATGTGATCCTGAAAAATACAACATTACTTTTATATCAAAGCCCAAATGTCTTCCACATATGGCTATTTTGCTGTCAGTAGTCATTTATGAAATGACCTAGTAATGGGTTTTTCACTAAAAATATATGATTCTCATGTCTCTTTCTCTCACTCTTTTTAAATCTAGGCTTTTAATTTCATCCTTTCTTGGATGTGATAAAGAGTTTCAATAGCCAATTCAAGATTTTTCTTTTAAAAATCAGAAGTGGCCAGTTTATCATATGTATTCCTTAAGAAAAACTGAGCAGGCTGGTAAAGTGAATTTCATTTGACATAAACATATGATTTCCTGTATGTTGTACCTGGGCAAATCTCAATTTTGCTTTTTGATGATTTTTGTCTCTATTGGGTGACAAAGCCAGTTATTGCGATATTGGACTTACAAAAGTGATAGCATACACAGTACATCCCAGATAATTTTGATTTTATTTTAATAAGGTCAGCAATAATCAGGGGAGTAGAACAAGTGGAAAATTGTTCCCAAAGGGATATTAAAAGTGAAGATAATCTAATCCTCCAAGATATGCTATGTTGACCTGGTAATTTCAGATAGGATTTTATCATTCAGAGTTGGGTGTCTCCTGGGACTCGCTTCAGAACAATCCAAGATGATTTTCATTGTCAGCAGCTAACACTAATAAAATTGTTTTTCCTGCAGGCTAGCGTGTTAGGAAATTAAATTTATCTAATTATACGAATAGTGCTGTCGCTTTTCACATTGTAATTAAAATACATTTTGTCAGGTCCTACCTCTTTCCAGAAACTGTTAGTTGACTATCTCGGTATTATATTTTCACAGAGAACAGTGCAAAAAAATGCAAAATATGTTTGCCTCGCAAATAAAAACTGCCCCGTAGACAAGAGACGTCGAAACCGATGTCAGTACTGTCGTTTTCAGAAGTGTCTCAGTGTCGGGATGGTTAAAGAAGGTATGAAGATAATATTTTAATTCCAGCTTTCTTATACATATTCTCAGATACTGCTGAAAAGGATGCTAATATTTACGTTGGGGTGGTGAATTTCCAAGTTTCTCTTTTCTAGCATTTTGTTCTTGTGGCATATTTTTAGGCTTAAAAAAAAAAAAGTGAGGACTGCTTATTTCCATTTCTCAAAAGTCAATAGAGAGCTAATGTACACCCATCTTCTTTCTACTTAAGAAGCGGGCTTTCAGTGCTAATTCATTACCAAACACAAGCCTGGAGTGGCTTCCACTTTGCTTGCTTCAGCTCATTCTAAACACCACCACTGTGACCTGATTGGGCTCATGAATGGCTGCTCCACTATAATGTGTTTGGATTCCTGTTTGTGATTCATGGCTATTGATAACATGATCTTTGAGGTTCTTTTTCTCTCTGTGTCTCTCTCTGCATCAGTTGTGCGGACAGATAGTCTAAAAGGGAGAAGAGGTCGGCTGCCATCCAAACCAAAGAGCCCATTACAGCAGGAACCTTCTCAACCCTGTCCACCTTCTCCTCCCATCTGTATGATGAATGCCCTTGTCCGAGCTTTAACAGACTCAACACCCAGAGATCTTGATTATTCCAGAGTAAGTATAGCTACATCCTGCCTTTAAATGAGTGACTGTACTCTGTGTGGGATACTAGTAATACTCCTGGACTGAATGAGTTTGCTAGAGAGTTTTCATACCTGTTCCATATTTCTCCCTTCATTTAGCAATGCAGTGTCTCCACTGCACCAAATAATTGTTACTTTCTTGGATCTCTAAATGCCTTAACAAATGACCCTGACAGAGCTGCACCTGTCGTACCCGTTGTTGCAGGTTTCCGGGTGTTTGGGCTAATGAAAATCTGCACAGGTGAACTGCAATTGATGGTCTTCTGTATGGTCTAGACCAAGTGACTACTGTTCGTTTTGTTTTGTTTTGGTTTCATATTGTGATCAAATCGTCTGGGCAAGCTTCAAGTTATCCTTAAGCAGTTTCCCCAATTGCATCGGCATTGGTTGACCTGCTGCTTACTCAAAGGGATTAGACCGTTGATGGAGAGGAGCGAGCTCTGGCCTAAGCATCAGGAGGTGTCAGGACTGGGATGGAACGCCGCCTCTGCTGCTTCCTGCCTGTGTCTCTTGGCTCCTGCTCTTGGCTTTCTCATCCCTACAGTGGAGATGATTACAATACTTAACCCCAGAGGGGTGCTCTGAACATCAGTCACACACGAGTGATGACAACTTTCTGAAAACCATAAATGATTACCAGTGTTGTGACTTAAGTCAACCAAAACATATGGACATTTTAATTTCCCATGGGATATATCATAAAATCCCAGCCATGTGAACTCTACATATCGTCCCCAAATATGGACACCACAAAGGGGAGCCATGAGAGAAAGGATTTTCTGAGAAAGTATATGTAAATGTTACTGTAAGGCAGTTTCCTTAAAAATATTTATTTATTTTTATTTGAAAGGCAGAATTAGAGAAGGACAGATGAGATCTAGCTCCTGGCTTACTTCCCCAAAATAGCTGTAATGGCTGGTGGTGAGCTGGTATGAAGCTAGGAATGTAAGAGTCCCTACTGGGGCTGCCACATGGATGCAGGAGCTCAAGAACTTGGACCATCCTATGCTGCTTTCCCAGGTCATTAATAGAAAGCTGGATCAAAAGTGGAGCAACCAGGATATAAACTGGCACCCATATGGGATGCCGCTGCTGCAGGTGGAGAATTAATATGATATGTCACAGTGCCAGCCCCATAAGGCAGTTTTCGAAAGGATTTAAAAGAGCAAACTTCTAGTAAAATGGGATCTTACTGAGGAGGTAAGGGAAGAGAAAAAGTTAACAATTCCTGAGCAATTCCTACTCGCTAGACACTGTGGTACAGTGTCTCATTTACTGCTTAAAATAGCCAAGAACTGTAGGAACCATTATTCCCCCTGGAAGACAACTTAAACACATGACTTACAGATAAATGACCGCAGTTTGGGGATCCCCGGTGGATTGATTGGACCTAGCAGCTACTGCCACATCACCCTTCCCAATTTTCATCAGCATTTGCAGCTTATGGCTGAATGGCTGGCAAAGGGTGCAAGTGTGTCTTTGCTATGGGCCCTCTTCCTGGGTGGCAGAGTTGACAGAAATGATTGGTGTCCCTGCTGTGAGTCTCTTTCCCTCATCCTCACCCTCATTACAGGCTCTGAAGCCTCCTCCGCACCTGATCACAGACTCATACGAGAAGCATGGCAGAGCCTTTAGTGCCAAAGGTTGAGGACTCTTACCCTGATTACAAGTGTAGTTATCGCAAATCTCTTCACGGCATTCAAATCGCAAATAATAGTGTCACAAAATAATGCCGCTGTTGAGAGTTTAGGCTTTGGAACCATGCAGGCCTGGGTGAAAGTCTTAGTGCCACCAAGGATAAGCTGGATGACCTCAACCAGCCGATGGAACTGTGCAATGCCTCAGTTTCCTCATCTGTGCTGCAGGGTAACCATAATAATAATCATAACATCTTCCTCCTGAAGTTGTTTGTAAAGATTAAATATGATGACACCTGTCAAAGCTTTAGTACAGTACCCTGTGTGCTGTGTCCTTGGCCGGATTTTCTTACTGTGTCATTGTTGACAATACTAATGAATATAAACAGGACAAGTCAAGTGCTATGCAACAACACTGTTAAAGTAGGCATGGTGATGTCCACTCCACAGATGCGGAAATTCAAACTGGAAGAGGCTAATGGACTTTTGCCCAAAGTCATATAGCTAATACACTCTAGAAATAGAATTAGGAGCCAAGTGAATTGGACCCAAAGCCTGTGCTCTTAAGTGCCTAGCCTTAGTGCCTCTGTGGTTTCAGTGACAGTGGGCAGTGGGGAAAAAAAATGCTCAGGAATGAAGACCCCCCTCCCTAAAGCACCCCTTGCTTTGATGTGTGCAATTCACCTGAATTAAGCACGTATGTAGGTACTGCTTGGAGTAAAGCTCCAGCACACAACCTGACGTTATCCTAGAGCATTTGAAATCACCCCTGATGGTCAGTCAGAGAAGCGGGGCTCCCAAAGTGACTTTTTCCCCCCAAATTATACAATTACCAGTTGACTTGGCCTAATTAGTCATTCAATGGCAAACCCTCCCGGCACTTTGAGTTGTCCCAGCTGGGAACTGTCTCCACACTGAAAAATCAATCCAGTGTGTTTGCTTGCCTCTGTACCATTCAGTCTGTGAGTCCAGAATCATCATCCTCATCAACAAACATTTATCCAATTTAATTGTTAGCTTTGTCCAAAATACCACATTGACCGGACCAGAGTGAGGGTCACATTGAGGCCTGGCTCAATTTTGCAAAACGTATTTACTTTCATTGTGTTGTTTTGGAATCAGATTCAACTTCATAGCTCAGATTCTCCTGCTTTTAGATTGCTTTACAAAATTATCAAAAATTGGACCAAAATCAAGTAAATGGAAAGACTTTTTTAAAAAAACACAGTGAGTTTTCATCAGAAAACTTGGATGAAGGCGTAGGAGCATGCTGATCACATTTGCAGATGACAGAAAGCTGGGAGGGATCGCTAATATGATGGATGTCAGTATCAACATTCAGAGTGATCTCGACAGGTTGGAACAGGAAGGGCTGAAACCGTCACAGAGAAAGTTAACAAAAATAAATGTGAAGCTCGGTATTTAGAATTTAAAAGGAAAGGCCTTGGCTTGCCAGTAGATCATGTTAAGAAGCTCTTCAGGATTTCTCAGTATGAACGAACAAAGTATGTGTGTGGCCAGAGGGAGGGATGCTAAGTTGCCTTAGTTACGGTAGTCGATACAGAATGGGATGAGACCGGAGGTGTCAACAGTCCCAGGCTCTATCCTATCAGATCATACTTCAACTGTAGATCAAGTCAGATTTTAAGTTGAGGTTGAAGAGGGCCAGACGCTCTAGCCTAGACACTGTTGCTAGAAACTTGTAAAGGATGCCAGGAGGACTTGGAAATATGTAAATCAGAAAGGGGACAATCTGGTGGGATGAGGCCATTCTTTTACCCTCTGGTAAAAAGAACCTGTTCCCCAGAGCAGATCTAGGGGGAGAAGGAGAGAGACCTCTTCTAGTTTGTCCTGAAGGGGCGCTATCTTGTCTGCTCCAGCTGCTGTGAAAGTATGAGTTCATCAACATGAGTAGTAACAGGATTGCTCAAAAGAGGAGAGGTTTCCTTGGGTGATGTGTAGTCCTTTATAACTCTTGAGATTTTATGATTCCAAGGTAAATATGAGTTCTTATACACATGCAGAAGTATGTGTGCATATATGTATATGTTTACATATCTACATCTATCTACATATATAGATAGATAGAGACAGAGAGGAGAATGTATGTGGTTAAGTAACCCGTTATTTAACAAGATTGAATGTGCTTTGTTCTTGATCAAAATATGAAGACATAAAATGAACTCATTGAATCCCTACCTAGAGCTAGGCATCAGCATATAGATCTTTCTCTTAAAAATATTTATTTATTTTTATTTGAAAGGTAGGTTTACCGAGAGAAAAAGAGACAGAGAGAGAGAGAGAATCTTCCATCCGCTGGTTCCCTCTCCAAATGGCTGCAATGGCCAGGCATGAGCCAATCTGAAGCCAGGAGCCAGGAGCTTCTTATGGGTCTCCTACGTGGGTGCAGGGCCCAAGAACTTGAGCCACTCTCTGCTGCTTTTACAAGCCATAAGCAGAAAGCTGGATCAGAAATGGAGCATTCAGGACTAGAACTAGCTCCCAGATGGAATGCTGGCACTGCAATGCAGAGGACTACCTGTTAAGCTACTGCACCAGCCTGGATAGATCTTACATAAGTTCACTCAAGCCCCCAGCTTTGTATGATATGTTTTATAATTTTGTATCATTTTTAAGTGGCATTCACAGAAATTGAATTTTCATAATACTTTTCCCTGAAAGTTTTTATATCTACAAGTTCATAGAAGCGGAGGTGACCTTGAGAGCATCTAATCCAAATTAAGAGAAAATTAAAGCTTAGAGGGACTACCAGGTTTGCCTAAGGTTAGTAGCAGAGCTAGAACAAATTCAGCCCTCATCACTCAAGACAATCAGAGGCATTTTCAAATCAAAAAGTTCTTGGAAAATTTGTATCACAAAAAAATAGAAAATAGAAAAAAAAACTATGTGTGGATGTTTTTTATACCAAATAGATATTTATTGTAACTGCATCTTTTCCATGAACTTTTTTTTTTCTTCAGAGAAGCAAAGAAACAGACAGATAGGGAAAACTCCCATGCACTAATTGACTTTCCAAGTGTTTAAAATGGTCCAAACTGGCCCAGGCTGAAGCGAAGAGCTGGAAACTCAGTTCAGATCTCTTATGGAAGTAGTAGAGGCCAGGCCACTCCACCCAGCACCTGTAGCCTTCCATGAGGTCTGCATTAGTAGGAAGCTTGGACTAGGGAACCAAAGTCTAGATGTAAACCCATCTCCAACATGAGATGACGGCATCCCAACTGGAAGATGAACCGCTAGGCCAAATGCCTGTTCAAAGTATCAACTCTTTGAAGAACTCCCACAAACTTCTTTTTCATCATAGTGCTATATGTCCTGATGTCAATTTACTGTATTTTTTGGTAGATAGAAGCTTTATTATGTTTTAATACAATTACAATAATGGTAATATCCATTAGGCTTTTTTTTTTAAGCAGGTAAGCCATTTAGAAGTAATAATGAAAACTAAAAAGTTTCTCTTCCTTTTCTGATCCTATTTGCCAGGATAACCAACATTAACATTTTAGTGGGCATCCACATTTTACCCCACTTGAAGTCAGAATCTGCCCTCCCAGGCTTATGCCCAAGAGTCGATCTGATGAACACAATTTTTTAGCAGCACTGGTTAACTCCAGTGAATCAGACTAACAACAGAGAATGCTTGAAGTGTGGTGTACTTCAGTCTTTGTGAATCAGTGCAGTTTCCTCCCCATTTGTGGGGAAAAGAAGGGTTTCAGTCCAAGTTCCAGAAGGACTGAATATTAGAGAGGCCAGAAAGAGAGCTCCTTGGGAAGCGTTCCTGGCCCTGGGACCCCCACTTCTCCTCTGGGCCAAACTTCTCTCCCTCAGAAATGAGTTCTGATCCTTGAACATCACTGCAGTCAAAACATGTCACATTTGATTTGTTTCTCCTTGAAATGCTGCAGTTCTCTGCCCTACAGTTGCTTTTCGTTTAGCGATACAAGTGTATATATAGATACTCAGCTTGGCTTTGGAGCTGCAAACTTGCTAACAAGAAAATATACTTAATGTCCTCATTAGTTGGTCATTTCAAGTGTTTTCAATGCACGAGGGTGTTTGTGGTAATTGGTGTTACTCAATGCAGAAGCAGGCTTACATCCCGAGAAATATGGCCCAGATAAAACTAGACACCAGCCAGTGGCATTTAAAGGGAGAACAAGATAGCCCATAAGCAACAACGTGGCTAACACATGCTAGACCTACAAAGTCAGCAGCAGGAAGACTGCCGAAACAGTGGTTGCTTGGAAGCTTCTCAGAAGCCCCTCTCAAACTGCCACTGATTCACAGAATGAGTTCTGTCCAGTTCTGCTCCTCCATGGCATTGTTTCCTTATCGAAATGGAGCAGAGATTGGATCAAATGCACTCCCCATGGTCTCCTCCAGCCTTCTACCCATTCAACCTGCTGCCACTCTGATGTGGGCACAGGTCAGCATTTCCTAAAGCCTGGAATCCAGGAAGATCCTCAGTGTTTGCTTTAAAACCAGGTTCTCAGACCACAACCAGACCTCCCAAATCAGAACAGAGAGGAACAGGAAGCAGACTGGTGCCTCAGGTGATTCTTTGGCAAGCTAAGGCTTCAGAACCCTCTATAAGAGATTCATAATCATGATTCATCTTTATCTTGAATTTACCAGCTTTTCCTGGGATTGGGAAGGGGTAAGCAATCGAGGTATATATATTGTTCAGAAATTAATTTAACAAATATTTATGGAACAGCTGTAGGGTATCAAGCAATGTTCCTAGGACATTGTTGATAAGGGAAGAAGTCTTCTGCCCTCATGTAACGCAACTGTCAGTGAAAGAAAAAGAAAATAAACAAATACTGTTGAGATGTCTTTGGTGGTGGGAGAGGAATTTTTTTTTTCAGTTTCTTGAGGCAGGGGTAGGCAATTGTCAGAAAAGAATAAATATGGAGGGAAATAGTCTCATTGCCAATTTTGAAAAGTCACCATTTTTTTTTAAATGTGAGGACCCAAGAACATATATATGTAGTTTTATATAAAAGTTTTTTATATATATAAAGGCTCAGAGAAAAGTGACCTTCTGAGAAGAGAAAGCCAATGTCCTTGGGGTATTTTACATATTTAGCCAAGGCTGAAAGGGAGATGGAGTACATATTAGATTCCACTCTGCTGTTACAGCATCATGTTGCCAAAGGTCTCATTTAATTCCCATGTAAATATCTTATTTTAGGCATAGGCTGTGGCTAACGTCTGGCCTGCACAGCTGCACTATTGCCCTATGAAGTGTTTGGACCCTCTATAGCTTCAATAATATCAGTTGCTATTGTTTGCAGCTTTGGGATATTATTCCAGACACTTTGGAGAAACTTCCACTAAGAGGCTGGCTGTGAGTAACATGTAATCTGACTTGATTACTGTAAAACCAGAGTTCTGATGGACCAGTTATCCCTACTGGCTGGAATTTAAAAATCAGGGGAACAGCTCTCTTTTAAAATGTTTTTGTGTTTGGTCTGTGTTTAATTGGCATGATCAGTAGACAAATATTTCTGTATTTTCTTCAGCAGGTCCAAGTCCATGTAGCCCAAAGACAGAATGACATAGGAGAGCACGGGAGTAGGATTGGTAGACCAGGCAGAGAAGACCCTAAAGTATTTTGCTGTGTTTCTTCAAATCTTCTGTTTAATACCCCCTGAGTTACAGGTCGCTCAGAATGAATCCAGTTTGATTCCAGAGTTCTGGGCTGTAGACCAGAAATCACTGCAGGTGCAGCCCGTAGGGTTTGGCAGGAGCCTGACTTTCCTCCTCACTGGGCTCCATCAGAGAAAAGTACACACACAGAGTAGGCAGAGCCTGTACCTCCCTGTGTGCAGGAAGCATGAAATGCCAGCCAGCAGGAGCAGAGGCCTGCAGTGGACCCTGGCGAAAAGCTGTGTGCTCTCATGGGTTCTGAACAAATATTGGAAGCATAGGTTGTTGAACTGGGAGCCAGGGTTTCATAAAAGTCAGTGGAGATGGGAGCTGTTAGGTCTCATTCCTAGGAGAAAGTTTGCATCCTTTGGTCTTTTTCTCTCCATTTAACTCACTGTTTTGTAACAAAATGGTGCTTGATTAGTGTGAGATTCTGGGCAATCACATCATACCTGGGGCAATTTATCAACATTTGGAATCATTGAAGGTAAAAGCCAGAAATAATCTTAGGGACTACTAATTTAGTTGACTCTTGTTTTGGAGAGAAAACAAAGCAAGAGAGGTTAAATGACTTGTATAGAGTGACACAATAGTTCTGTGCTAGAACCTCAACTAAGATCTAAAGGCCTGCTTGCCTAACCCATTATACTTTGCTCTATTCCATACCAGATGTCATTTGGGAGTTCCACATGTAATACTGTTGTCCTTTTTTTAAGATTTATTTTATCTATTTATCTATTTTTTTTGAAAGGCAGGATTTTACAGAGAGAAGGAAAGACAGGTCTTCCATCTGCCCACATGTCTGCAATAGCCAGAGCAGAGCTTATCTGAAGCTGGGAGTCAGGAGCTTCTTCCAGGTCTCCCAAGTGGGTGCAGAAGCCTATCCACTTGAGCCATTCTTCATTACTTTCCCAGGTCATAAGCAGGGAGCTGGATCAAAAGTGGAGCAGCTAAGACATGAACCAGCACTCATATAGGATGCTGGCACTGCAGGCAGAGAATTAGCCCAGTAAACTATGGCACTGGCCCTATAGTACTGTTGGTTTTTAAAAGCGAGTCCTGTCCTGAAATTCATCATGCTGTTGGAACTAAAGTCATAAAGGAAGAGGGGGAAAAAAAATCTATATATATATATGTATAAATTCCTTTTCCAGTCTATTATAGTTAAGAGTATATATGTTGCAAGGAAATGGAAGTAGGTACAACATGTGGTCAAGCTCTACCCCTGCCTGTCCCCAGGGAGGAGTGTTGCTTCCTTCTGGACTTGACCCAATTCCATCATAGACAATCCTGGGCTTCCCAGAATCCCTGTGTGATTTTGGGGAACACAGGAATAAATTACAGATCTTACAAAGTCAGGGCTGAAATTCATAGACATTCTGCTTCAGCCCATTCCCCACTTCATAAATACAGAAACAGGGTGCTGGGGATAGTTTCAAGAATTGCCATCATTTGTGAAACCTGTTTTATAATATCCCACTCTTCGCATGAAATTTTAAGTTTGATCAGCACAACAACACTTTGAAAAAGGGATTGTGTCCATGTTACAGAGGAGAAAACTGAGGCTCAGAAAAGTGAAATAATGTTTCACATATTAAGGGTTACCCAAAACTTTGTTTAAAGTCACTGGGCCCTCTGTCTAATGGCTCTTTAGTTATTTCATGCCGCATCTGGGAAGAACATAAACAAAAGGAAGACTGAGTTAGGCAGGTTCCCCATTTCCTCACACCCAGATAGTTTTGCAATATGCAAATTGCTGCTGTTGCCCATTTCTTATTGGCTAATTTTCCTCCATTCAGGCTAGAGCAGATTGGCAAGCCTCGGCAGTACCCTGACTATTTCACTGAAAAAACAAATGTCAACAGCTGTGTTTTTTGAAGGGCTGTTACGTGCCAGTCACTGTGCTGTTGACAGAAATGTGGGAGATTCCAATTACAAAAGGCCAAGAAATGGTTAGGAAGTTCCAATTGTAGTAAAGCAAAGTGCCCCATCAAGCATTCAAAATGGTACCACAGGCTACCAACTAGTAACCTCAGGCATTACCAGCCAAAAGTTATAGGACTTAGCACCCAAGTCCTAAATCTTGGTTAGTTTACCACAATCTTGGTTGGGTGTGCAGCTTGGGAAAATGTCTTCACATCTCTGAGCCTTGGTTTCCTCATCTGTGTAACTAAAGATTCAAATCCCTGCCCCAAGAGGGTCAACTGAGAGAAGAAATGCAAGATCATGCTTAGCTTCATTAAGATAAAGCAAATGGTGTGCATAATCACCCGAATGTTTCTCATATCTTTTAAATCTCATTGCTGGTTGTCCCTTGACTATTATCTTGCTTTATCAACCTTCCTGTTGGAAGCAGAAATGTTTTTCCTCCAAGAACTCAAAGAAAATCATGGTACTACCTAATGGAGTACCTGAAAGCTGAATAGAGAATTTTTCCAACTGCTACCTTTCTTTGCCTGGGACTCCCCAGATCAGGGTTCTATAGCCCATCTTTCTGAAGTGATGGGAACGTTCTTCACCACCTTTGAAATGCAGCCGATATGACTGAGGAACTGAGTTTTAAATTTTCATTCATTTTTGTTCATTGAAGTAGCCTCAAGCCCTGAGTCTGATGGCACATGGTTACTTGGGCTCTGCCAAGGGTAGCTTATCTTCCTTTACTTTCCGATATGTTTCATCACTTGAAAACCCATCAAGTAGAAGTCATTCTCGTGCCCTGCTGCTTAATTCAGATTCTCAGTGTGCCATGAGAGTCATCTAGAGTCCTCACAAACTCTGCTCTTCCTGCCCCAGACTTTCCACATTTGATAGGCTGGAGGGGGTGGGGAGCAGGCTGAATTTATCATTGCTAACTTCTTCCCAGGTGGTGCTTATGATGATAGTCCAAAGACCACACGTAGAGAAGCATTGGGTGAATTTCCCCGTGGCCAAACCCATCCCAGATCAGATACATTAGATTCTGTGGTGGTGGGATCTAGACATTTATGTTTTTCCAGAACTTTTTGGGTTATTAGGGTGACCAGTCAAGGTTGAAAAATCACTGCACTAATGGGACTTCAACAGATGTGCTTGGCAATGGCATGGTATCGTAAAAATACACCTTCCTTATACAACAAGGTCAATGTGAGAATCAGATGAGGCTCGGGAGTATGAAAAGGTCTTATACACAGTGGGACCTATAATCGAGGATTTGGGCATTACCAGGCTTGTGAGAGGCCATTTTCAAAGAAAACAGAGTCACACTACTCTCTGTGGTTTGTATTCCAGTACTGTCCCACTGACCAGGCTGCTGTGGGCACGGATGTGGAGCACGTGCAACAATTCTACAACCTTCTGACAGCCTCCATTGATGTATCCAGGAGCTGGGCAGAGAAGATTCCGGGATTTACTGATCTCCCCAAAGAAGATCAGACGTTACTTATAGAATCAGCTTTTTTGGAGCTGTTTGTTCTCAGACTTTCCATCAGGTAATGACTATGATGCTACTCCTCCATCCATCCATTGCTTCCTTGGAAAGGATCTGGAACACTTACATGTTTCTAGATGAACCATCAGCCGAGAGTCTGCTCAGAAGCCAATATGCAATGTGGTTCTGTTGGAGTCTGCTTTCTGTTACTAGTAAACAAATCCAAGGGTGGGATTTTGTTCAGATACAAGGTTTACTGGGTTTACATCTGCAAGCCAGAATGGTATGGGGGTGGGCTAGGCTCCTGTAATGGCCCCTCCTGGCTAAGTCACATCATAGCAAATGACATCAATGTGCCTATGGTCCTTCGGTGAAACAGGCAGCACGAGAGTGGGGAGGAGCTGGGGTTGCTCTTTGGTCACCCACTCTCCTGAGAACTTACTCATTCCATGGGAACTGTGTTAATTCCTTCTGAGAGAACTCCCTTCCACTGCCTTCCCCAACTCCAGCCCCAGACCCTGACATCTCCCTCCAGCCTCACCTCTTAGAGTGACCAGTAGGAACCTAGTCTTCAAAACACAAACCCTTGGAACTATAAATCAAATCCAAATCAGGGCAATTAGTGCTCAGTAACTATTTGCTGACTGAAATAATGCATAATGCCCTTCATCCAAGAATCAGAACACTGCACCATTCCTGGACCCCTCACTTCCAGTCCCAATTCTAACATGGACTAACATGAATCAAACTCTGAGCCCACTGCTTCCCTCGCTGGATATTCAGATCCCTCCTTTATAAAATGGGAAAATTGGATTTTTGGAGTCTCTGGCAGCTCCAATATTCTAGGAGTCCCAGAAGATTTTCTTGGCACTGAAGGTATTTCTTGAAAGTGAGTGTTTGCCTTGGAACACTGCGTTTAACTCATGAGTTTCTATTTCACAAGTTCCTGTTCTAGTGCACCTGCTGGGGCTCCCAACAGTTCCCACAGCTTCTTCCAGCCGCCATGCTTATTCTGAAAACAGCTCCTGGATCCCAGGATTTGATCCAACCTCTCCTACTCAGGGAAGCCAAATGCAAAGAGGAAGTGATTGAGCAAAACACTACAATCTCAGCTCTCTAAGCCCTCCTTGCATCTTTTTTCTTAAAGTTTATCACTGCTTTTATTCTCACAGAACATTTAATTATAACTTCCTTGCTTCTCTTCCTAATTTTTAGAGGATTCCACCAACAACTCACTAAATGTCATAGAAAAAATTATCTCTACCCTCTTATCCATCCATATTACCCCTGCCTCCTCTAAAGGGCAGGTTTCCGTGCTTAGTTCCCATCTATTTTGGCTTGGGAAGCTTTGGAAGATGTCCAGCAATCTTCATGTTAAACTCATGCTCTGGTGATTCTGATGCTGGTGGTTGGTGGGTCCATATTTTACACTTTGAGATTGAATCGTTCTAGCCTGTGTGTGTCCTCTGTGGGAGATCAGAGCAGGAGTGGGGTGGAGTTAAATTAAAGTACCACTGATTAGCTTCAAGTGCACGCAATCCCATGTACACCAGAGCCAGGCCAGCCTCGTGCTGGCTATCAGGCACACAAAAAGGGAATAATTAGCTCCATGCAGGCAGGTACCATATAGGTCCTGCTCACCAAGATTTCTTCAGTGTCTGGCTCTAGAAATGGCACAGTAAATACTGGCAGAATGAAGGAATTAATACAACTGTTCACACCAGCCACACTACATGAATGGTATTAACTTGTACATGGGTCAGCCAGGATAGATAAACATGTGGCAAGAGATCTGAATGGTAAGATTAAAGTAAGGATGACATAGAATTCAGAATTAGTTCAGTCTTCCTGTGTTCTGGGCACTGCATATGACTTTCAATTTCTTTATTTAATTCCCTCTACAAATCTTAGGAGGTGGCCATCAGAATTCCTGTTTGATAGCTAAGGGAAAGGAAACTAACAGAGATTACAGGAGTGCCCAAGCCCTCCCTGCCAAGCAGTGACGTCAGCTGTAAGCTCCAGGGCACCTCTCGGGAGACAAGAATAGGATGACTATGGACTTAATATAAATTATCAGGATAGTTTTAGAAAGAGTCCTCTTCAGCCTCCCTGTTAAAAACAGAGAAGGTCGTATAAAATCAGAACTCATTTTTATATTAGACCTCTTTTGAGCTTGTGATTGACTTCTGGCCCTTGCAGGGAGCTGGTGTTTTAGAGTCTACAAAATGGAATTGTAGTGTCTAGCCTCAGGCCTTATCCGGTTTTGACATTTAGGAAAATTATGGGCAAGCTCTGACTCAGGAGCCCTGAAGGAACAGTCTCCTATGCACAGCAGAAAGAACGAGTGCCCTGGGCTTCACCCCTGTGATCCATGAGAACCCATTCCCTTGCATTCTGGCCCAGGCAAGCCGACAATTGATTCAAGTAAAGACAGCAGGTGCCATTCCCTGGGCTAAGGCTCTTTCAGGATGTGGTGTGGTCTTGTTAATCACACATGTCTGGGCATATTTCTCAGCCCCACTATGAGTTCCCAAGACTGCCTGTAGTCACCTGGGGCCTGTGTGTTTTCCTGTCAGACAGACCCTTGTAACGCATCTCTCCACCCTCCAGGTCGAACACTGCTGAAGATAAGTTTGTGTTCTGCAATGGACTTGTCCTGCATCGACTTCAGTGCCTTCGTGGATTTGGAGAGTGGCTCGACTCCATTAAAGACTTTTCCTTAAATTTGCAGAGCCTGAACCTTGATATCCAAGCCTTAGCCTGCCTATCAGCACTGAGCATGATTACAGGTAAGCACCAACTCGCCAAAGACCTGTGATTGATTCTGTCCCCTTCGGCTCCTTTCCCTTTGTTAAGCTGGATTCTGACTTTTGTCATTACACACACTAGAACATGAGGAAAATGACTGCCACTCATCTGAAATCTGCTGTGTTGAACCTCAATTAAAGACATGCATCTACATCCTGTTGTTACATACTTCTAGCAGCAAGGCTTCCTAATCTGTTATTGTTAGCAAAACCAACACGACACATCCAACTTTCCGCTGAGCTTTATGGTGACTGGATCAGCAACTTTCTGGTGATTTTCAGAGTGTTTCTAAGGAGGACTATCTTGACTAGCTGATTTCTGTAGGACAAAAGTGCTAGTGATTAGAGGCATTGAAAACACAATTTAATTTCATTGCTTTGATTGCCAGAGAACTGAGGAAGGTAGATATTTGTTACATATTCAGTGACTTGTCTATATTACGTACTTTCTGTCTCTGTGTATCTCTTCCTCTTTATCTTTAGATTCCTAGGTTGGTGGTGTCAGGTGGTGCATGGTAGGCAAGAGAAGGGAAACCAACTATGTCACTGTGGCTGTTGAGCCCCAGCTCCCTCGGCTCCTTAACACACCCAAGGAGAACTTCTGGAAGTCCATCTTTTTCTGTGCAGTACTGGGGTGTGGTGAGGCAGTGATGGCAGTTCCAAAGGAAGCTGCTCAGATCTAGTATCTGTCCCCATCCTTTGGTCAGACCCAAACACCAGCTAAGCTGTTGAACCGAGGGTTAAAGTTCAGAGATGGATGTACTCTGGGCTGCAGAAGACATGTGTTTCAGGCAGGCGGTGAGTTTTGGAGTCCCAGATGCATCCTCTGGTGCAGATGGCCTCTTCTTGCTGATGTATCAGAAACATGCATTGGTTTGCCTAGGCATTGCTTCTGTGTAACTTCTTGGAGCATTTCCAGTTAGCTAAAGGGCGATGTGTCTGTGTGCCTTAAGAGGTTCATGCTTTGAACAGTTTACATGAAGGCAAAGAAAAGCAAATGGCATGCTTGTGCGGCAGTTGGAAATCAGATGCGAATTGGTTCTTACAAGTATTCCACATAGAACCTGAGAGGCTCGCTGCTTTTGATGGAATAGTCACAGGCTTTATGTCATTAATAAGACAAAACCAAGTACAGTCTCAAGGAATATTATCCAATTTAGAGGGCTTTCAAATGACATACTAGAGCCCCTAAAGGAAATGACATATTTAAGACACAAGCTTGAGAACATTTCAAAAAGTTAGTGGAAAAATGAAATTAAAAGATCAATTTATTCTGATGCCAAAACCTTTGGAATCCATGGACCTTTTTCCATACTACAAATTTTCCATGAACATCTTCAACACTCCTCATGTGACTCCAATAGGTCTAGAATGAAAATGGCTCAAAGGTGATCTTTGAACTAAAGCTTTTGAGCTCAAATTCAAAACCATTCATCTCCTCCTAGAGCTCTTTAACATTCCAAAATGGGAAGTATGGAGCTTAGTTCACTTAAAAATAAAAATAAAATTAGAGGCAGCCCTGGATTTCTGTAAATAAAACCATTGCCACATTTCTATGGAGATGGGTGTTGAACTCAAATAATTAACAAATGTTCACTGATCTAGGTGCTATGCTGCATGTCGTTGGGTTATCAGCAACGATAACACACACACAACAGAGAGCTAGAACATGCAAACTAATGCACAAGATGCTAAGCGTCACATGGCATGGTGGAGACCTGGGGATGGCTGCAGAGTGCCTGGAAACCCCAACTGGGAAGTAGTCTTCTCAGAAGTGAGCACAGCAGCTGGTCCCTGATAAACGCAGAGGATGTCTCTAGGCTAAATTCAAAGGTGTGAAAATTCCAGGGATAAATTAAAAAATTGCTTAATATGGCTGATGCAAGCTTTATGAAGGAAATGGCCAAAAGCAGAGTGACAGGAGATGCTGCTGGTCCAATATGGAAGCGAGGGGCAGGATGTGAAGAACCTCAGTGAGTTGGGAGTGGGGTTTATCCTGAAAGCAGTGGGGATCCATGCAAGATCTTTACCATGGATGCCATAGGCTGGACTTACATTTTAAGATGTGCTCTGGCAGCAGGTTTTGAGCACAAATTGTGAGGAGAAAGGAACTAAGAGGAATGAGCTCCACCGCAGGGGCTGAGAGGAGGGTTGACCCATGGATCCACATCTTTTATAGTTAGATTTTTTTCCCTTAAGATTTAGATTTATCTGAAGTTCAAAGTTACAGAGAGAAGAAGAGACACGAGAGATCTTCCATTCCCTGGTTCACTCCCAAATGGCTGCAGTGGCCAGACCTGAGCCAACCTGAAGCCAGAATCTTCTTCTGGGTCTCCCTCAGGGGTGCAGGGCCCAAGGACTTGGGCAATCCTCCACTGCCCTCCCAGGTCATAAACAGGGAGCTGAATTGGAAATTGGCAGGCTTGGCCACAAATCAGTGCCCCTATGGAATGCTGGAACCACAAGGTGGAGGCTTAACCTACTATGTCATCGTGCCAGTCCAACATCTTTCCTAGATATACGTGTTAACTGGAAATCATTAGGCAACCAAGAGCCCAAGACATGTGGGTGACCAGTTAGTTACAACACAAGGAGACTGAACAATTCAGAGCACTGAGTAGGCGCTGGGAGGAGAATGATGTCAGTCCTCTCAGTGGCCACTTCATTCTGTGTTCTGTGGTCATAGCTGCTCTTTTTACTGCCCCTTTATGTGGACCGCTGGAAGAAGAGGCCATTGCACATGGGGGAAATCACATAGACTTTGGGATCCCGAGTTCAGGATTTAATCAGTATGTGCTTTTAAGGAATGCATTTCATGTCTCTGAACATCAGTTTCCCCATCTGTAAAATGGGTGTAATGACATCTATTCCATGGAGTGACAGTGAGTGTAATAGAGAATTGGGTTTATGATGTAAACAAACTGAACTCAGCACAGACTCTCGGATCCCCCTTGCATCAGTAGCCACAGAATTGCTATCAAACGAGACACATGCCTGCTCATTCCTCTTGGAAATTCCTGGGCAGGCCAAAATCAAACTCAAGAGGAAACAGGTGGTGGCTTCAGAAGGCATTATATTTGGTGGCTATCCCTCTGGACACTTGAAAGGAGGAAGCAGAGCAATGGTATCAAATAAGCACTTCGAATGGGCCAAGTGCTTTGTGATGGGTGTCTTTGGGCTTCCACCATGGGGTAGCTGCAGCTCCCACCCACATCCCCTGCCAGATTGAGCAAAAGGGGATATTGCAGGTGCTGTGGTTATACCCACAAGAAAGTAAGACCTCTTTTCTCATATCTGGGCTCATCACACCTTCCCTGTTCTCTCTTGGGTGGGAGGAAGTTTAAAATGTGTGAAAACATCAGAGGTTGGCAGAAAAAGCAGAGCCTGGGAAACAATGTGCATCACTGTAGATGTGAATTTTTGTTTGAATGTGGGCTTGCCTGGGCCTTGACATCTGAGTCAGCTCCACTGATCAAATAGGGTGCTTGTGCAAAATTGCCTGGGCTGATGGCTGTGGATGGCTTGCCCCCAGTAAACTGTTGTTAAACCAAGAGAGGAGCCCAGAGAGGGAGGCGGAGTCTTAGAAGCTTAACCAGTCTTGCTTCAAGGAAGTGTTAAGAATCTGAGTAGCACTAATGATTTGCACAGAGTTTTCTGTCCCCCCTACACCCAGTTCTTCTTCCTTTCCCCCACCTTTTTCTTGTTTCTTTTCCTCTTCTTTCTGCCCTTTATGAGAAACTGGACAGTGTGATGGGGGCAGGAAATGGTTTCTTTCAGATCACAATCCTTTCCTATAGAAGCAGGAAGTTCCCCATAGTTGTGGTTTTCAGATGCTTTTAGGTCTCTCCAGATTATCTGTTCTACCATGGCGTTTTACCAGTGCCATATCCCTGGAGTCATGAGATGTGAGAAGAACCATGGCTGAATTTTGCTGTCAGGAAGGATGCCATCTACCAGGAAGCCATAAATAATTATAGAATAGAAAGAATTCAGTGTATGGTGGCTAGTGCTCAGATCTTAAGAGAGATAGATTCAGGACAGGGGAAGTACACATTATTGCTACATTTTTGGGGTGAAAAAAGATGAAGGTTTGGTCATGACTGCATGACTGACTTGCCCAAAGTGATAGTAGCATCTAGACATGGGAAGATAATGGACATTTCAGATCAAGAATTCATAATAGCAAGTGCACTGGCTATGAAACAGCTCAGCACATTTTGGGGCAGAGAAAAGGCTGAGTATAGTAGAGTTGCATTATGTATATATTAAATCATTTTTAAAGTTTTTTTTTATTGTAAAGATTGATTTATAGAGAGAAGGAGAGACAGAGCTAAAGATCTTCCATCTTTGGTTTACTCCTCAAATGGCCACTATGGCCAGAGCTGAGCCAATCTGAAGCCAGGAACCAGGAGCCTCTTCTGAGTCTCCCACTTGGGTGCAGGGTTCCCAGGTGTAGGGTCATTCAGCACTGCTTTCCCAGACCATAAGCAGGGAGCTGGATGGGAAGTGGAGCAGTAGGGAGATGAAGCAGCACCTATATGAGATGTCAATGCTGTAAGGTGGAGGACTAGCCAATTGAACTATCAAGCCAGCCCCCAAGTTATCTATCAGATCTAGGTAGAATGGCATGAGAAACTAAACATGTGCAAGCAATTACATGCTACTACTGTATCCTGTCCTCAGGGAAGCAAGAGAGGAACTGTGATCCACTGTGGGTCACCATCTCTTGGCCTCTGGCACTGAACTAGAATTTTCTGTGCTTTGGGGAAGTTTAACGGATTTTCAAGGAAAAACTAATTCTGTCTTATATTTATCTTATGGCCTGTTATGATCCAACCTTAAAAGCAAAATGAGTTTCCCATGTAATAGTAGGATAAATAATATGGGAAAGGTAGTTTTTCTTATTGTTTTATAAATTTATTGCTAGGCACTTAATTTTTTTAAAAAATAGTTTTTTGAAAGACAGAGAGAACTTCCATCTC